AGTACTATATTGAATAGGAGTGGTGAGAGAGGGCATCCTTGTCTAGTGCCAGATTTTAAAGGGAATGCTTCCAGTTTTTGCCCATTCAGTATGATATTGGCTGTTGGTTTGTCATAAATAGCTTTTATTACTTTGAGATACGTTCCATCGATACCGAGTTTATTGAGGGTTTTTAGCATAAAGGGCTGTTGAATTTTGTCAAATGCCTTCTCTGCGTCAATTGAGATAATCATGTGGTTTTTGTTTTTGGTTCTGTTTATGTGGTGAATTACGTTGATAGACTTACGTATGTTGAACCAGCCTTGCATCCCCGGGATGAATCCTACTTGATCATGATGAATAAGTTTTTTGATTTGCTGTTGCAATCAGCTTGCCAATATTTTATTGAAGATTTTTGCATCTATGTTCATCGTGGATATTGGCCTGAAGTTTTCTTTTCTCGTTGGGTCTCTGCCGGGTTTTGGTATCAGGATGATGTTGGTCTCATAAAATTATTTGGGAAGGATTCCCTCCTTTTGGATTGTTTGAAATAGTTTTAGAAGGAATGGTACCAGCTCCTCCTTGTGTGTCTGGTAGAATTCGGCTATGAGCCCGTCTGGACCTGGGCTTTTTTTGTGTGGTAGGCTCTTAATTGCTGCCTCAACTTCAGACCTTGTTATTGGTCTATTCATAGTTTCAGCTTCCTCCTGGTTTAGGCTTGGGAGGACACAGGAGTCCAGTAATTTATCCATTTCTTCCAGGTTTACTAGTTTATGCGCATGGAGTTGTTTGTAATATTCTCTGATGATGGTTTGAATTTCTGTGGAATCTGTGGTGATTTTCCCTTTATCATTTTTTATTGCATCTATTTGGTTGTTCTCTCTTTTATTTTTAATCAATCTGGCTAGTGGTCTGTCTATTTTGTTGATCTTTTCAAAAAACCAGCTCTTGGATTTATTGATTTTTTGAAGGATTTTTCGTGTCTCAATCTCCTTCAGCTCAGCTCTGATCTTAGTTATTTCTTGTCTTCTGCTGGGTTTTGAGTTTTTTTGATCTTGCTCCTCTAGCTCTTTCAATTTTGACGATAGGGTGTCAGTTTTGGATCTCTCCATTCTCCTCATATGGGCACTTATTGCTATATACTTTCCTCTCGAGACTGCTTTAAATGTGTCCCAGAGTTTCTGGCACGTTGTGTCTTCGTTCTCATTGGTTTCGAAGAACTTCTTTATTTCTGCCTTCATTTCGTTGTTTACCCAGTCAACATTCAAGAGCCAGTTGTTCAGTTTCCATGAAGCTGTGCGGTTCTGGGTCGGTTTCTGAATTCTGAGTTCTAACTTGATTGCACTATGGTCTGAGAGGCTGTTTGTTATGATTTCAGTTGTTTTGCATTTGTTGAGCAGTGTTTTACTTCCAATTATGTGGTCAATTTTAGAGTAGGTGTGATGTGGTGCTGAGAAGAATGTGTATTCTGTGGATTTGGGGTGGAGGGTTCTGTAAATGTCTATCAGGTTTGCTTGCTCCAGGTCTGAGTTCAAGCCCTGGGTATCCTTGTTGATTTTCTGTCTGGTTGATCTGTCTAGTATTGACAGTGGAGTGTTAAAGTCTCCCACTATTATTGTGTGGGAGTCTAAGTCCTTTTGTAAGTCATTAAGAACTTGCCTTATGTATCTGGGTGCTCCTGCATTGGGTCCATATATGTTTAGGATCGTTAGCTCTTCTTGTTGTATCGATCCTTTTACCATTATGTAATGGCCTTCTTTGTCTCTTTTGATCTTTGTTGCTTTAAAGTCTATTTTATCAGAGATGAGAATTGCAACTCCTGCTTTTTTTTTGCTTTCCATTAGCTTGGTAAATCTTCCTCCATCCCTTTATTTTGAGCCTTTGTGTATCCTTGCATGTGAGATGGGTTTCCTGGATACAGCACACTGATGGGTTTTGGATTTTTATCCAATTTGCCAGTCTGTGTCTTTTGATTGGTGCATTTGGTCCATTTACATTTAGGGTTAATATTGTTATGTGTGAATTTGATACTGTCATTTTGATGCTAAGTGGCTGTTTTGCCTGTTAGTTGTTGTAGGTTCTTCATTATGTTGAAGCTCTTTAGCACTCAGTGTGATTTTGGAATGGCTGGTACTGGTTGATCCTTTCTATGTGTAGTGCCTCTTTTAGGAGCTCTTGTAAAGCAGGCCTGGTGGTGACAAAATCTCTGAGTACTTGCTTGTTTGCAAAGGATTTTATTTTTCCTTCACTTCTGAAGCTCAGTTTGGCTGGATATGAAATTCTGGGTTGAAAGTTCTTTTCTTTAAGAATGTTGAATATTGGCCCCCACTCTCTTCTGGCTTGTAGTGTTTCTGCCGAGAGATCTGCTGTGAGTCTGATGGGCCTCCCTTTGTGGGTGACCCGACCTTTCTCTCTGGCTGCCCTTAGTATTCTCTCCTTTATTTCAACCCTGTTGAATCTGACGATTATGTGCCTTGGGGTTGCTCTTCTTGTGGAATATCTTTGTGGTGTTCTCTGTATTTCCTGCAATTGAGTGTTGGCCTGTCTTGCTAGGTGGGGGATATTTTTCTGGATGATGTCCTGAAGAGTATTTTCCAGCTTGGATTCATTCTCTTTGTCCCCTTCTGGTACACCTATCAAACGTAGGTTAGGTCTTTTCACATAGTCCCACATTTCTTGGAGTCTTTGTTCATTCCTTTTTGCGCTTTTTTCTCTGATCTTGGTTTCTCATCTTATTTCATTGAGTTGCTCTTCGACTTCAGATATTCTTTCTTCTGCTTGGTCAATTCGGCTATTGAAACTTGTGTTTGCTTCACGAAGTTCTCGTATTGTGTTTTTCAGCTCCTTTAATTCATTCATATTCCTCTCTAAGTTATCCATTCTTGTTATCATTTCTTCAAATCTTTTTTCAAATCTTTTTTCAAGGTTCTTAGTTTCTTTGCATTGATTTAATACATGATCTTTTAGCTCACAAAAGTTTCTCATTATCCATCTTCTGAAGTCTAATTCCGTCATTTCGTCACAGTCATTCTCCGTCCAGCTTTGTTCCCTTGCTGGTGAGGAGTTTTGGTCCTTTCTAGGAGGCGAGGTGTTCTTGTTTTGGGTGTTTTCCTCCTTTTTGCGCTGGTTTCTTCCCATCTTTGTGGATTTGTCCGGTGGTTGTTTGCGTAGTTGCTGACTTTTCGATTGGGTCTCTGAGTGGACACCCAGAATGTTGATGATGAAGTGTTTCTGTTTCTTGGTTTTCCTTCTACCAGTCTAGCCCCTTTGCTGTATGACTGCTGAGGTCCGCTCCAGACCCTGCTTGTCTGGGGTGCACCTCTAGCAGCTGTGGCACAGCGAGGGATGCTACCAGTGTCTTTTTCTGCTATCTTTGTCCCAGGATGATGCCTGCCTAATGTCATTCTTTTGGATATAGAGGGGTCAGGGAGCTGCTTGAGGAGACAGTTTGTACTTTATACGGGCTTAATTGCTAAGCTGTGCGCTCTGTTTTTCATTCAGGGCTGTTAGGCTGCTATGTTTGATTCTGCTGCAACAGAGCTCATTAAAAAACCCCCTTTTTTTTTTCTCAAATGCTCTGTGTTGAGGGGTTTGGGCTTTATTTTTGGATGTTCGATGAGGTGTCCTGCCCAGCTAGAAGGCAGACTAGCCACTGTTTGGCTGCCGAGGCTCCACCCTGCTGTTGTGTGATTCGCCCTGTTCCTGCAGGCTCTGCTGTGGTCTCTGCCACGCCCTGCGGCGGAGTCTCTTCGTTGTAGCATGTTGCCTTGGCAACGGCAGGCTGCGTCAGCAGTGGGTGCATATCTCAGTAGGGATGGGTTGCCTCGTCAATGGCTGGCTGCATCAGCAGTGGGCGTGTATCTCAGTTGGGGTGGGTTGCCTCGGTAGTGGTGGACACTTCTCCCCCACAGAGCGTCTCGGACCGTCTGCTCGGGATAGTTTGAAATCGCGGTTTTGTTCGTCCCACTGGGTATCCCAAACGATCTGTCCCTGCAATCCCCTGGGCTGGGCTACTGTCCAAGTCTTGTTCAGCCTCAAGTCCAGCCCTCTCAAGTCTCAGGTTGCCGGTTCAACAGGGCACCGGGACAAGCGCACCCTGTGGGGATTGCTGGGTAGGGCCGGCCGCCGCCGCCCCGGCTGCCGGCTTCGCCAGGCAGATCTACTGCCTGGCGTCCCGTGTCTTTTTATACTTGGGAGTTTCCCCATTCTGTGGGCAACAAAGATCAGTCTGTAAATGCAGCTCTGACTCACCATTTGCGGATTCAACGCAAGCTCCAATCCTGGGTTGTTCTCACAGCGCCATCTTGAGTCTCTCTCCTCAGCTGTTTCTTGAGCACTAGTATGTGCCAGGCACTCTTCTAAGTGAAAAGGAAAACAAAATAAAGATTCTTCTAGCATGGAGCTCACATTCTATTGGGATTATGATAGTCACCTCCTATGATTAATAATAATAACAACTAGCATTTATGGACTCTGTTATGCACCAGAAATCATGTAATATTTTGCATTTGATTCAACACCTATATATTGAGTGCCTAGAATATTCTAGAATATCCTAGTTGCTTCAGATACAATAGTAAACAAAACTTATATTCTTCTGTAAAGAGACAGACAGTAAACAATGGCCATAACAAATTAGTAAATTATAGAGTATATTAGACAGTAACTGCTATGAGAACAAAAAATAATAAACTTGGAAAAGGTAGAACAGGAACCTTTCCAATTTTAAATATTATGGTAAGGTAATCCTCATTAAATGTTTAACATTTAAGCAAAGACATAACGTAAATGAGGAAGTTAATCCTGTGGATATCTGCAGAGGAGAGCACAAAAAGAAGAGGGAAGAGTCTATAAAAAGATTTTAAGGAGACAATACATGTTCTAGGAACAAGACATTCATGCCTTCAGTAGAATGAGCAAATGTGGAAGAAACAGATGAGGTCATAAGGGTCTGGGGACCTTTCATGCCTTTTTGATTTTGACTGTAAGTGAAACAGGCAAACTTGGAAAATTTTGAACAGAACTGGGATATGGTCCCACCAGTTCTATCGTCCTTTTTGGCTCCCGTGACCCACTGGACCCCAAGGCCCCCGTGGTGACAAAGGCGAGACTGGCGAACAGGGTGACAGAGGCATAAAGGGTCACCGTGGCTTCTCTGGCCTCCAGGGTCACCGTGGCTTCTCTGGCCTCCAGGGTCCCCCTTGCCCTCCCGGCTCTCCTGGTGAACAAGGTCCCTCTGGAGTCTCTGGTTCTGCTGGTCCCCGAGGTCCCCCTGGCTCTGCTGGTGCTCCTAGCAAAGATGGACTCAATGGTCTCCCAGGCCCCATCGGGCCCCCTGGTCCTCGTGGTCGCACTGGTGATGCTGGTCCTGTTGGTCCCCCCGGCCCTCCCTGCCCTCCTGGTCCCCCTGGTCCTCCCAGCGGTGGTTTTGACTTCAGCTTCCTGCCCCAGCCACCTCAAGAGAAGGCTCACGATGGTAGCCGCTACTACCGGGCTGATGATGCCAATGTGGTTCGCGACCATGACCTCAAGGTGGACACCACCCTCAAGAGCCTGTGCCAGCAGATAGAGAACATCCGGAGCCCCGAGGGCAGCCACAAAAACCCCATCCACACCTGCCACGACCTCAAGATGTGCCACTCTGACTGGAAGAGTGGAGAGTACTGGATTGACCCCAACCAAGGCTGCAACCTGGATACCATCAAGGTCTTCTGCAACATGGAGACTGGAGAGACCTGCTTGTACCCCACTCAGCCCAACGTGGCCCAGAAGAACTGGTACATCGGCAAGAACCCCAAGGACAAGAGGCACGTCTGGTTTGGCGAGAGCATGACCGACGGATCCCAGTTTGAGTATGGTGGTGAGGGCTCCGACCCTGCCGATGTGGCCATTCAGCTGACCTTCCTGCGCCTGATGTCCACCAAGGCCTCCCAGAACATTATCTACCACTGCAAGAGTAGCGTGGCCTACATGGACCAGCAGACTGGCAACCTCAGGAAGGCTCTGCTCCTCCAGGGCTCCAACGAGATTGAGATCCGTGTGGAGGGCAACAGCCACTTCACCTACGGCATCACCGTTGATGGTTGCACAAGTCACACTGGAGCCTGGGGCAAGACAGTGATCGAATACAAAACCACCATGACCTCCCACCTGCCCATCATCGATGTGGCCCCCTTGGACAGTGGTGCCCCAGACCTGGAATTCGGCTTCGACGTTGGCCCTGCCTACTTCCTGTAAACTCCCTCCATGCCAACCTGGCTCCCTCCCACCCAACCAACTCTCCCCCCAACCCAGAAACAGACAAGCAACCCAAACTGAACCCCCTTGAAAGCCAAAAAATGGGAGACAGTTTCACATGGACTTTGGAAAATATTTTTTCCTTTGCATTTATCTTTGACCAACCGAACATGACCAGAAACCAAAAGTGCATTCAACCTTACCAAAAATAAAAAAATAACTTTTTTAAAAAGGGGGGAAAAAAGATCACTTCATCTGTAGTGTTGGGAACAGATCATAAGAGGAAAAAGACAAAAGGAGGAAGGTAAGTGTATTCGTTCCTTCTCATGCTGCTAACAAAGACATACCTGAGACAGGGTAATTTATAAAGAAAAGAAGTTTAATTCGTTCACAGTTCCACATGGCTGGGGAGGCCTGAGGAAGATTACAATCATGGCAAAAGGGAAAGCAAACATGTCCTTCTTCACATGGTGGCAGCAAGTAGAAGTGCTGAGTGAAGGGTGGGGAAGCCCTTCATATCTCATAGAACTCACTATCATGAGGCCAGGATAAAGGAAACAGCCCACATGATTCATTTATCTCCACCTGGTCCCTCCCATGACACATGGGGATTATGGAAGCTATAATTCAAGATGTTATTTGGGTGGGGTCACAGCCAAACCACGTCAGCGAGGAATCTATTGGAAAACTCCAGGAAAACATGATGGTGTAGCACGAAGATGTAGCAGGGAGGTTTTACAGGAGGAAGAAAGCAGAAACGACTTGACTTCCAGGCTTAATTTTGAAGCTGAGCTCTTAACCACTGTCTGTTGCCTCCCACTGAGACCACTTTAAGCTCAAGAAATACTTAAGAAAGTAGGTATAAACTGTCTTTAAAATGGCTAATTATTTCATGAAGTGAAGCTTCATATTGTTAAAGAGAAAACTACTTTCATAGCCAAATTTCAAGTCCTTCCCACCCTTCAAAGCCTATACCAAGTTTGAAGAGTTATTCTGGCTCTAACTTGAAATCCTGTTATGTTATATTTAATGTTGCATAGTTTCTTTCACATCTTTGTGTAGGCTTTTATGATTCCTCAACTGTTATGATTCCTCAAATGTTATGAACATTTTAGGGCAGAAAACAAGATTGCATCTATCCCCAACATTGTCTGAAATAAAATAGAAGTACTGAAATTTTTAAGATTGTCTAATTGATTGATTTTCATTGAGATCTCACCTTGAAAGTGGTCTACAAATAATGCAAGTGCAAGGTTATTTTTAAATTCTAATATAGAAAAAAAGAAGAAAATAAAATGTTTGTGCTATATGTGTAAATACATGCAGAATGATAGGAAGAGGAAATAATAATATGTGATACTTAAAAAAGGAATGTATTATAAAAGCAAAATTCTTCATATTTATACAGCACATTATTGTTTACTTAGTCCTTTTACTCAAATTATTTAATTTGATCACTGTAGTTTCCCATGATTTTATTCTCATATTGATGCTTTTTTGAAAAGATCAAAACTATCAGATAATGTCTGATGAAAGATGAAATTAATCCAAAATTATATTTAAATTTCATGCACTGTACCTTTAGGATTTATATTTTATAAGAATTAGTGAAAAGCAGAAGAGATAATTAAACTAGAGTACATTCTGCTGACCTGAAAGTACTGTTAGTTCTATTGCAAATATTTTCAAATATGTTCCATGCACAGATCTGCACAAATTGCTTCTCAAAGGTGAATTAAGCACATCCTTAAAGATGACCTATCTGTTCTCTTTCAGGACCTCACCATTTGGTGTGGGTTTTAAATGTAATTTACTAGTATATCCTTTTTTCCTCAACCACACAAAGACCATTAATCATTCTCATCTGTACGCAACATTGCACAGTGTCATATTAACTCCTATGCATGTCTGCAGCTCTGATGGCTCTCAGATAGAATTACCACATGTAGGTTCTCAACTCTTCTTCAGATTTTCACCATGCATCCCTTTCATTGAACTCTAAATACCTTAATACAGCTCTCTCTCTCTATTATCTGTGCTAATGACACAGCAGGGTAAGTGAGAGGCACAGAAAACTTGCAACCTCAATTTAGCCTTTGATCCTCCCCCTTACTGCCCTTTACATGAGTTGCTAATGAGCAGTGAAGTTGACAGATTGAAATGTCACCTCTTTCTGCCCTCTGATGCAAGTGTTAATAAAAATGAATATGACAAGGAGCTAACAGGACATTAGGAAGAGGAAAGCAAAGTCCTAGCTGACCTATATGACCATCAGCTCTTCTTCATAATTAAGTTTATTTTAGATATTTCCTTTACAAATTATACTGTAAGTTGGGGTTGAATATTGTACACTTCCTCTTTCTGACTTTGTGACCAAATAAGTCATTGAGTACTTTCAAATCACAGATTTTACATCTATTCAGATCAGTCAACTAAAATATTCATTGCAATCTCATAACTCAAAAGTATAGGACATAGCTTTCCATTCCAGATTTGGTCTCTTCCAATTTCTCACTAATAGATCCATAAAAACACAACAAATGGATTGCAAGTCATAACATAAAATCATGACTCACAGCCACCTTATTGCCAGGAAATGAAAGGATTTTCTAGTAACTGCATGATCAATGGAGCTAACTTCAGAATTCCACATGGTCGCTTATGCATATTTTGCTGACATAAGTGGAGCGTATCTAAGAGGGTAAAGACAAACAAAGGGAAAGACTGTACACTCATAACTCCCAAAATCCTTCACAGAGACTTAGAGGATATTACAATAGGAAATTCAGCAGCTTTTCTTCAGAACAGGATACTTTTGGAAGCAACCCACCTCCCAAATACCTCTTCTACTTCTCTTCAGAGATTAACCTGGAAACCAGTACAATAAGAAATATGAACTAAAGAGAGCTAACAAGGATTTATGCCACATTAGAGATCTAGCATTCTACTTCTTTGAGTTATAACACATGGTAGAAACAGACTATACACATGGTTCCAGAAACTGGAACCAATGTATATTGATATGTATAAGGCCCTTCCCAGGAGAAAATACCACTAAATTCAAAAAACTATCCTAAAATGATGCCTGCTGGAGGATGGAATTTGAAGAGAAACTATAAAATACTGACCTATTTTCCAGTTGAAGATCTGAGAATTGGATTTTGCCAATATCCATCCTGAAAATTTAGAGTAAAAGATACTGTTCAAAAATAATTTACTACCATAACCAGAAAACATTTTTTAAAAGAGCAGTATTATCAAAAAAGGCATAAGATTTTATGATTTCATTTATTAAAGAAAATCATGAAGAAAGAACATGTCAATTGAAGACAATACAGTGTTATAAAAACAATATGTTGAGATATATTGTCTGCTCTGAGTGAAATAAAGATTAAAAGGAATTAAAAATGCAAAATGAGAAAAAATATGATGCTAAGAGAAGAGATAACAGAGATTTAGTCTCCAAGTGACAGGTATTCTCAAGGAAGAAATCAAGATATTAATGAAGAGGGAATCGCCAAAACTGAAAAATATTGTCTAAATATGTCAATTTAATCATTTATCTTATTTCTTGAAAAATATTCAGAATAGACCCATATTTAAATATATGTATTACTTAAATTTTAAAATATAATATTTCAAATATACAAACAAATAAAAAATTTTAAAATATAATATTTCAAATATACAAACAAATAAAATTATTATAGTGAATATCCTAGTACCCACTGTGCAGATTTAGCAAAAGCAAACATTTTGCTGAATTTGCACAAATACTTTAAGAAGTAAAACTTTGTGTGTAGTATTAAAGCTTCCCCATCTTATTTCCCTCCCCCTCAGAAATAGCAACTATCACAAAATTGATATGTATCCGTGTTTTATAATGTCCTATACCTATATGAATTCATAAATTATACATAAGACGGAGATTTATATTTTAACTTTACATAAATGTTATCTGTGTGAGACCTTTTAAATTATTGTAAGGATTTCATTTTTCATGTTGAATGAGATAAGAAACCACTGGAGGATTTTGGGCAAAGGAATAGCATGCTCGCCCTCACTTTTAAAAAGACTCTCTGACAAACTTCAGGAAGTTAAGGGTAGAGGTGGATGAGAATAGCTTGGATCAAAAGTGATACAAGAGTTAAGAGCAAGAAGTGGATATATTTTGAAGCTGTTTTCAAGATCGTGCCAAAAGCATCATATCCCCTGTGCCCATCACAAGGTATCACACATGGTAGTCTCGAAGTGTGCTTTAAATCAATCATCTTTCTACGCTAACCAAAATTTTCATCCTCCATGTGGTAGGAAGGATTAGCAGGAGGCAAAGCACTGCTAACTGTAATGTAGTCTGCATCATACACTGATATAGGTAAACTTTCTCTTAATTATAGTCCACATAACACTGATACTATCAGATTATATTGATTATTTTGTGGAAAAGTTAACTATTTAAATTAGATAAATTAGAATATTTAAGATGTACTTTATGTAGAATCAATTCTTAGTGATGCCTGTATAGGTTAGCTGGCTCAGTTTATCCTGGCCCTTAGGCCCTTGGAAATGTTTTCTGTAGTCTTGATACTTAAAGCAGAGCTTGGCTGAATATACAATCTCATTCATACTTTTTTTTTCTTGAGTGTTTTGAAAAGGCTGCTTCATTTTTTTCTTGCCTTACTTTGATTTTGAGAAGCCAAATGCAGTCTATTATCTTGCCCTTGTAAATTACTTTTTTTGGCCTGGAAATGCTCAGGACATTTTTAAAGTCTAATAATTATATTAGGATATGTCTCAGTGCTGACCACTGCAGGTCAATTTTCCTTGATAGTGGGCCTTGTTTTGTTTTTGTTTGTCTGTTTCATTTTCATTTTTATTTTTATTTTTTTTTTGAGACAAGATCTCACTCTGTCACCCAGGCTGAAGTGCAGTCGTGAGATCTTGGCTTAGTGCAGCCTCAACCTCTTGGGCTCAAGCGATCCTCACACCTCAGCATACTGAGTAGCTGGGAGCATAGGCATGCACCACCATGCCCAGTTAAATTTTGTATTTTTTGTAGAGATAGGGTTTTGCCATACTGACCACGTTGGCCTTGAACTCCTGAACTCAAGCAATCCACCCGCTTTGGCCCCCCAAAATGCTAGTATTACTGGCATGAGCCTCTGTGCCTGGCCGCTTTTCTCTTTCATAAAACAGAAACAAAGAGACA